GATTCTAGAAAGAAGTAGAATTAAGTTTTTTCTTGAATTAGTTACTGTAAAGATGTGATATATTTTTCTACAGTTGTTGCATTTAAACAATTACTAAGTGCATTCATAATCACATTTTATGATTGTATATTTAGCTATACAAATTAAAAGAACATAGTCAACTAACTAATCTTGTGAATGCAAGAAAGTACAATCTACTAGTCAATGCCAATAAACTAAAAAGTTTACTTTTATACTTAATAAAGGATGCAAGTCATTTTAGAAAGAAAATTATATTTATATGTGTCTTTTTAAATTGTTTATAATAGTTTTTAAATATTTCTGTTTTGATATAAAAATGTATATATGCTAATTTTTGGCTATTAAGTGCTCCCTAAAATTTTCTTGAAAAATTCCTACCTAAAATATTTCAAAATTTCACTGCACCTCCTGAATTCTATCAAAGAGTGTTTTTTTTTGTGTTATTTGCATTTTCTTAAACTCTCATTATTTAATTACTGAATTTCTCTTTTAATTATTGAAATCTGTAGACCTTTCATTGTAACTGAATAGTTATATATTTTGAGATGAAATTTGAGCTCAAAATAAAATGGGTATTTTCCCTTTTGAATTACTGAAACTAAATAGATATTTCTTTTTAGAAAGTTAACACCATTATATTTTAAAAAATAAGAAAGTTAAAATTTACTTTGTAAAATTCTGGAACAGATACTATTCATTGGCATAAATGATAAATGCAATATATATGAAAACAACAGAGTCCATAAAACAATTTTGTGGACTCTTATAATCAATCATATGCAGGTTTTTTAAAATCCTAGCAATAGTGAATGTATGTATAATTGTAGTACTCCTAGTATGCTATTAATGGTTTTATGGATCCTGAAAATTATCTTTATATTGTTATCAAACTGATTAATAATCATTTTAGCTGAGATAAACTGAGTGAAAAAAATAATTTTAGCTGAGACAAACTGAGCCAAAAAGAGATTTTAACTGAGACGAAATGCAATTTCTGGTGAGACAATTTGATATTTTGCGAGTAGCACCCCTGCTATAATATAAACAAGTAAAGCGTTCTTTGTCAGAAACTAGTTATTTTGTCATGATCCTGTAAAGTCTTTGATAATTATTTTGAATTTTGTTAATGTATATAGTGCTTATAAATATTTTTTGAGTGCTTAAAAGGTGCTTGTGTTTTGCTGAAAGATTTGGCTACGCACCCTGTATTGGTGGAAAAGATATTTTGATGATACTTTAGACAGTGATGATACTGATTTTCAAGAGTTACTCACTGCTGATCCCAAAATTCAATTGACTTTAGACGTGGAAATTAATTTTACTTCACCTTTTTTTAAATATTCTTGTAACTGATCATTTTGCCGTTTCTTTGGCCCTTTATGTCTGTCTATTCTAATCACCCTAATTGTCAGAAAATTTCTGCATTTCATACTTTCGTTTTCCGTGCTCTGACACTTCTTTAAACTCCGAGCTTACATTCCTCCGCTCGCTTGCTGTAAACCGTGGATAGCTCTTGCTAAACTCACTAGACCCAAACGCCCATCTTCCTCTGAGAGAACTTGTTACTTTGCCTTTTTTTTTTTCCTTCCCATTTGTTATAAAATTGTTCATATCCTCTCCCATTTCGGTTTTAAACTAATATTCAAACCTGTTAACAAATAAAAGTTTTTTAAATATCTTATTAGTTTTGATAATCGCTGTTATTGACAACATTCCTTGTCAGTGTGACGGCTAACTAGGCGCGCTTTAACCCTTTGACTACGAATTTTAAAAA